TCCGGGCCTGTGACATTGCAGGTGGGAGAGAAGAGAGCATTAGTGCTTAAATGAAGGTGCAGGCTCTTGGGTCAGGCTGCCCGGGTCTGCTCCGCCTCTGACAGTGTGATCCAGGACACATAACCTCTCTGGGCTTCAGTTTCCTCGTCTGTGAATTGGAGCTAATGATAGCCACTTCGTAGGGGGTACTAAGGATTCGGTTAATTTTTGTAAAGTGTTTAAAAGAGTACCTGGTATCGCTGGATTTCCACGTAGTCGATCGCGGTTCGCGTCCTGGACCCGGTGGCTTAAAACTCACGCTGGGCGTGTGTGTGGGCATGTGTGCCCAAGATCCCGAGAGGATAATGGAGGAAAAGGGAGGGCGGCGTGACCATCCCCTCTGGGGGGTGATTTCTTGTTTTCTGTCTCTATGTCTCTGTCTGTCTGGCGAGCGCACGCGCCTTGTAGCGAAAACCTCTCCAAACAAAAACAAAAACAAAAACAGTACCTGGTACAGGGTCAGCAGGTGGTATGGTGGTTGAGGCGCTAGACTTCCACATGGCCAACAATGGTGCGAATCCTAGACCAGGTGGCTTGCTTTCTCACTTTCTTTCTCTCTTTCTGGTGAGTGCATGTGCCCTATAGCAAATTAAAATAATAATACTAATAAAAAAATAAATACATATTTATAAAAGGAATACTCTCATATAGTTCATTGCTCAATACATAATTACTGATACCCGGAGGTGGAGGCAAGATAGATTTGTCTCAGAATAATGTTCAAGATTGTGATACTTTTTTTTCTAAGAGAGATTTTTGTTATTGGGTGTGTGTGTTCATCAGAGACACAGAGAGAGACAGAGAGACAAAGCAAGAAATCACCCCACAGAGGGGTTGGCCACACCACAGTCCCTTCTCCTCTATTCTCCTCTCAGGATTATGGGCATGCACACACACATGCCTGGTGTGAGTTTCAAGCAGCCCAGTCTGGGACTCAAACCATGGTTGGCCATGTGGGAGTCCAGAAACATAACCATTATGCCATCTGCTGGTCCCACAGGATTGTGATACTTTCAAAGGGGCACTGGCTTCCACTCAAAATACTGCACTTCCCACCATTGGAAAGGCTCCATTGCCTGCTGGGAGAACCCGCAGACTGTGGAGGGACTGTCCCCACTCTACACGGAGGGTGGCCTCCGAACGTCCCCCAGATCCATTTGTACTCTCCAGTTCCCTGTGTGAGATGCCTTGCTCTTAATCCTTTTCACTCCAAGGAAACTCTTTGCTCTTTTACATCTTGTGACATTTGAAACTCCTTCTCTTTGTTCTGACCTTATTGAATAGAGAGAATAATTCCTTGGAATTCTCTGTATAATGAATGCTCATGTCCTTACAGATTCTGTTTGAGTTCCTCCTCACCTCTACTTTGAGACCTTGCATCGTCTAGTGTAGAAAGAACCGTAAGCAGCACTTAGCTGGGAGGCGTAAGATGGAAATGCTCCGCTTGTCCTTCCTGCGGCCACAGACGTGCACCCCTTGTAACCCCCATGTCAGCCGGGTTACCTGCCCTTAGACACGCAGATGCAGCGGGTCCCGACTCCTCTATCACACATGCTAGAAAACTCTGCAGCCTTCCGAGGCTCTTTACACGTTTTTGTGAAGCTGGCAGAAGTGAGGGAAACAGGGCAGAGGGGTCATCTCAAATCATTCCTACTTCCAAGTTCAGGCCTGCAGTGAATGAGGTCAGTTCGTAGATTCCCACGAGTCTTCTTGCTCTCTGCAGCACAGTGGCTCACCCACGGTGCAAATCCCTCATTCAGAGATTCCTATCAGAAGGTTGGGGGTAGGGAAGATTTTTGCTAAAGTAATGGGGTAATGGAGTATGTGTATAGCAGATGTGAGGGTGGAGGTGAGGAGGAGGAGTGAAGTGTTACTCTCCATTACTGCAAAGCAGATGCTTAAAATTGGAAATGCGATTTGGCTTTCAGTAATGAAGCAGTAGTTCTGTAAGGCTGACGCTCCAATAGCTAAGAGCTGTAGACTCCACACTGACAACAAATCTCCCCAAAGGTACTGGAGGGCAACAGACAGCAGGCAGAACTTGGATAGAAGTCTACCCTTAGGAGAAGGAGATGATGTGGCATGAGTTTCCTGGTTTTATGCTTTTCTGCCTGAGGGTAGGCTCTGGTCTGTGACATACAGAGTACTAGAAAGTTAGATAGAAAATCTGCAGTGTTGCCAGCTTGAAGACCCAGAGGACAGAGTTTGGGGTAACCATAGCAGCTAGAAAGTGAGGAGAGAAGTTTCAGAAAGAGAATCAAAAAGGGAGAGCCATAAATTCTATATAAACTCTATGCAGATTTCTAGATGGCCCCTGAACCCATGCATGGGGCAGACTAAGCAGCACAACTAAGGCTGGAGAACTGAATAGAAATTTTAGCTGTCATGCACCATAGGGGACAGTTTGAAATTAGAGTAGACCCAGATTAGCTGTCTGCTTTCCCCCACACATAAATATTCAGAGGAACTTAACAGAATCCAGAATTAATACGACATACATTTTATGATGTTCAGTATTCTACCCCAGAGTTACCAGAGAAAGCAGGACACAGGAAAAGGGACTCCCTATTTAAGAGGACAACTATTTGTAGGACTTGTCCCCAAGTGAAGTTAGCAGACAAATTATATATATTTATTTAGCAGACAATCATTTGAAAATAATCATTATAGAAATGCTCAAGGACAGAAAGGAAAATAATGTTGCAACAAACATAAAGATAGGAAATCTCAGTAGAGAAATAGAAACTATAAGAAAAACATAGACATTTTAGAACTGAAAAATAGAGTATCTGAAATTAGGAATTGACCATTCCTGTCATTTGATACAAAGTGAACGATTACAGAAGGTTTACTGCTAAGCAAAGCAAGCAAGATTATGAAAGACGGACATTGCATGTCCCCGCTCAATACATACCAAATGTCTACACTTTATGACAGAAACCCAAAGACTGGAAGATACAGTAGCAGGGTCAGCAAATGTATATCCCAGTGAGCATACAGGACGGGGTGGGTAGTGAGGGTGAGAGGTGAGGACTCGGGGGAGAAAGCACCTGATGGACTCAAGAATGGAAAGTTACCAGATGAGGATGATGTGTACGGTAATCTTTGACTTGATTGACATGTGATGCATGTAGGCTTTGAAAAATCACTTTG